ACACAAAAATGTGTTGTTATTTTTAAGCCAAAACTGAGAAACCTCAAGAGAATAGTATCTGGATCAGCACTTGGACAATCTGCACAGCCCCTATTCCAGTCAGGCTGTGAGCTGCTGAGACATGGACAATACCAGCGTCCTCTTTTGCATGGACACCATTTGGAACAATTGGATTACAACAATTTGGACATGATTTGGACTTGATTTGGATTTCTGAATCTGGACACTGAAGCTGAAACGTGTGATTGAACGACACGTCACAGAAGAATCATGGCTTGACACAAATGCAGAAGCCTGAAGAATCAAAACAAAGAAGTGGGAGAGACTGTTTTCAAAGCAATATCTGTAACCACCATCGACTGATGAAGTTTGGGTATTTTACTGAAGATTGTTCACAAGTTTTATGAAAGATCTGAACATGTTTTATGAGTTTTCTGAGTTTTTTGAAGTACCGAGTGAAATACCAAGTTTATGAGTTTTTGAAGTATTGAGTTATGATGTTATGTACACGAGTGTACACTGTATTCTGAATACTTTTACTTTGATTAGCAATATAAAGGCTAGTGTATAATTACAAAAAATTAAACTACACATGTTACATATAGCTGCCATTAATTAGGAATTCTAAAATGCAAGGAGTAGCAGATCATATGGCAAACATTTGCATTAACTTGCATATAAGGCATTTTAAGCGTCCCGCACATCCGCACGGCTCTTTTACTCAGCGCTCTTTCGTATTAGATCCTGGGTTTTCTCCAGCGCCTGTGTGGTGTAGCGGGATTGTCCAAGACTTTCGCTTGGACGGTCGGGGTTCGAGCCCGGGGCAAATGCTCAATTTTTTATTAGTGGGGGGAGTATATGTATCAGATTACTCCGTTACTGAATAAAGTTGCATTTTTTTCCTGCAGTTTGGTTGGTGCAGATTGTGAAGTTTACTACAGTCTAGCAACTATTTTAAATGTGTTGGCCTAATTACTAAGTATGTTTTAGAAAACATGTAAACGTCAACAAAATCAAAAGTGTCATAGCCTGTACTTGAACCCGGGTCCTCTCGCACCAGAGTCCACCTCTTTATCATTGAGCTATAACGCACAGAAAGTTTGTCTGGTGAACAGAGAACAAAGACCGATGAGAAGCCAATTTTCCTAACCATGCTCACAAGTGCCACCATGGTGGTTGTTTTGGGTCATTGCAGCATCACTGGGGGAAAAAATAAATAAAAGACGCGTGAATCACACGTGAGTCTCGTGTGATTCACGCGTGAAAGGCGACAAAAACGAAATGGGACCTACTGTACGTTCAAAGATACTGTCACCTTTGCCTGCTCGCGGCGCACACTCGCCTGTGCAGTTAGTTTGGTAAGAGAAATCATCACATACCGGGAGTGACGCTGCTTATTACGAGCTGTGTTAACTGCATTACTGAGTCCTAACCAGTACAATAGTGCCATGGCTTCACATATATTTCACGCTGTACAGATCTAATCTGTTATACGTTCGGGTAAAGTCTGTTTGTCTCGGTGAATGAGATGCACACAGTGGCCGCTGATACACGCAACGGTCCCTGGGTGCCGCTGGACTACCGCAGTCGCTCGAGGGACCAGCGGGAACCCGGCTCTTGAGCTTCACTTGCGGCATGTACTAGTGTGCGTGCGCGCTCGCGGAGGCTGCGCTGGAGAGACCGGTTTCTCCAGTGGAGCCTGCGCAGGTATTGATTTATTTGCACATACCACAAAAAAAAAAGATGTACAACTTTACATTTGACTGGTAGCAACTCATTATGCAGCATAGCATGTCTCACACGGTAATGTTAACCAGCAGTTTGATACCCATCTATGAGCATTTGGCAACGCAAAGTGCTGCTTTTCTTTTTTTCACGTGATTCTGGACTCATTTTAATGCCTCTTTTCTAATGCAGGAGTACAGCGGGTTCACGCTGTCCACTGGTCGAGGCTCCTGGACGACTTGAATCAGGTACGAACAAAATGTGTTTTAATACATGGCACCTGTTCTGTTTGCACGCGTGTGTTCTGTTTGTTTAGCCATTCAGAATAGCTCCAGTAGTATGCTTGATGGATTTGTTGCAAGAAATCCACATTTTACACTCTGAAAGTTAATTCTATTATATTTCTTGTATAAATTCATATTTAGCATGCCTTTACTGCTAGATGGACAGTTTTTTTGTGTATTATTTACAATAAAGAACCAAAAGGAAACTTTCTATTAATGCAAAACACTAAAAGGGCTAATTTTAGATATATTTCCTCTTGTAAATTTTGTTCCATGCCAATCATGCTGTGTATTTATAAGTGCACAGAACAAAGGTCATACTGTGTTTTATACTTTCATAGTGGTCACAATTTTCAAAAACTTTTCAGAGCCTTTTTCTTTACCATGTGAGGTGCTACGAAGTCTGGCGGCTGAACCACTACACTCCGTTGGCATCATACTATGTGCCTAGAAGATATCTGATCTCCCCAAAGCATCTTTCACATACTTAAGGTATACGTGACAACATAAATATCATTAATTACAATCACGACTTTGAAACACTTTGATCTCTTTAAGTTTTCACATGCATGTGAGGCAAAGATAAGTTTGTGTAAGCCCTCAGTCGTACAGGGATTAGTCAAAGCAAAGGAAGGTTTCTCACCCATCATCTGTACTTCTTAGCAAGTTTTTCCCGACGTTTCGTCCTCAACCTAGCGGACTTCTTCAGGGAATGAATTCTCGGAAACCGCGCGTTGGAGATTTATAACCTATGGGTGTGGTAAGCCACACCCTAATACCTGATACTAACTCGTAAACAAACTAAGGTCTGCTTGATGTAGAAGGGAGCAGGTCTAACGACCCTGCTGAGGCTAACGACCCTAACTCCTTAGCATGTCACAGACCTAATGTCTGCTGGGATGCTCAAGTGGAGTGCAGGTCTCACCCCTCCTAACTCATTAGCATGTCACTGACCTTGTCCCAAGTTAGGGCGTTGTTTTTAGGATGTCGTCATAGATGCGAGGCAAAACAAATCTTAACCCTCCTCCTCAGTAACACCTTTCACCACTTGCTCAATAGCGCCGTCCCCATTCTGGGGAGTTCAGGGTGCAGTACCACCTTTTCACCACTTGCTCAATACCGCCGTCAATTATATCTACTCAAGACAACACTTATTTAGCCCTCTAGTTTTTTTGTGTTTGGTTAGTTCTAAGACGTACACACAGATTTAGAGTTAGATTTGCGTCAATAGGTTAATTGACATTCTCTCTTGTTTACATGGATGTAATGTAAACAGAAGCAGAATATTTTGTTTATTCAGCAATTTTCACAGACACAAATGCTTTAGATCAGGGGTTCCCAAAGTTTTTTGCCCGCGACCCCCATTATAAATGCCCTGCTAGCCCGCGACCCCCCGCCCCCCCCCAACAGCCCTTCCGTCACATGAAATGAGCATGTATTTCCTTGATACGGAGTAACGCTTTCTAGAGACTCACGCCACTACCGAGCTGCACTGTCCAGCCCAAAAAAGGAGGCTTGCATATTTTTACTCATGTAGTGACACAGTGATGGGCTTGGTGGGCTCCCTCCTCAGCAGAAGTCAGAAGTGGAGCGCATTTCTTGCGGCTCGCCCTCACTGTTCTCCTACCGCGGTAAAGTGGGCCGGCTTTCCGGAGTCAGCGGTAAAGAGGTCCGCACATTAAAAGCGGGCGGCCGCTTTCTGCTGTTACTTTATGCGGTTCATCCCCGCGGCTTCTCTTTCCAAAGTTACTGTCAGTAACAGCATATAGCTGCCACCCGCTTTTAATGTGCGGACCACTTTACCTTTGACTCCGAAAAGCCGGGCCTCTTTAAAGCGCTGTTCTGCCGCTGTCCTCCCTCCCTCCGCTGCCCTCTCTCCCTCCGCTGCCCTCTCTCCCTCTCTTCGCACCATCAGCCTGACCCCTGATACAAGTGACTTTTCTCCCCCTCCGGGTTTTTCTGTTGTGGATATTAACCACGTTTCATTTTAAAGCAGGTATTATTTATTTGTAGCCTCCAAACACCTTTAGTTTTAGCAAACAACAGCAGGACACGCTTTGTCGCTGCGCATGATGTGAGCTGTGTTACGTGATGATTTTGATTGACGCTGCAATGACTGGGACAAAATTACTAACGTTATTAAAATATATTATAGTCTCCAAACACAATTTAACAAGTAGTCCTTTTGAATCAAATCAAATGCTAAATAAATATTTAAGGGCTTTATATTTGCTCAAAAAAAAAAATCTTTTTTCTTTGTGTGTGTGGAAATCATCTTGCGACCCCCCCCAGGGGTTCCCGCGACCCCCCGGGGGGTCGGGACCCCCACTTTGGGAACCACTGCTTTAGATGACATGGTGGTGCAGCAAGAAGCTCCTGGTTTCGATTCCACCTTCATTTCTGAGTGGAGTTTACATGCCCTCTGCGGAGGTGTCCTTTGGGTGCTCCAGTTTCTCCTACCACTAAAATCATGTATACTAGGTACTTGCATGTTCCTCCTGTATGGAAACCCTGCTTCTATCACTGAGAGGAGTGATTGGACAATTGTAAATGTTGTGTGATGCTGTCTGATTGGCGATATATAAATAAAGATTACTTACTTATTTTATAATTTGATATTGTATAATCCATTCAACACTTATAGGTGAACGATAATAGCCACAGCTGCCCTATGGGCCTCTCACCACCAATTATTCAGTCACTTGAGTCAGAGTTAGTGGATGAAGTGGGCTCATTCCCACTGAGAAATAACACACGTTTTTATCTCCACACAGTGGGAAGGTCCACACAAATTGGTATTTAACCAGCCTCCCAAGGTAGTATTTTTGCTACAGCGTGTTCAGTCTGAAAATTCTAACCACCAGATAATTTATAAAGCAACACACCAAACTGTATCACAGCTTGTGGCTTACTTGTCAAAATCAGTACCAATGTGGCTTCTTTTTTGTGCTATAACATTTAAATTGAAGTTTTAAATCTTTATTTTTTCAGAGATCCAAACCTTCCTGTTCCACAAGACACCACTTTTATTCACACAAAACCAAACCGCTTTGAGGAGGTGATCTGGACGAAGTTCAGTTCAAAAGACAAGCACTACCTACACATTGGTCTGAAGCCTCGGGTCAAGGACAACTATCGTGCCAATAAAGTGGCCTTCTGGCTTGAGCTGGTGCCGCACCTCCATGGCCTTCAGCATGAGGGCGTTCCTTCTGCAAAAACACCAGTGACTCCTGTAGGTCCAAATCGCAGGCCCAGCACTGGCCCACGCTCCACACGTCAACCTATCATCTCCACATACCCCCCTGATCCAGACCCTGACAGCTCTGAGCGCCCACGCTACCCCCCATTCCCTGAGGAGACACGGGACTACTCCACAGAGCTGAGCGTGACGGTGGCCGTGGGCGCCTCCCTGCTCTTTCTAAACGTCCTGGCCTTTGCGGCCCTGTATTACAAACGGGATAAGAGGCACGAACTCATGCAGAGGCGCCACCGCCGCCTGTCCCCTCAGAGGGGCACCACTATTGGGATGGGTGTGGGTATGGGAGTGGTGGGTGCTCCTCCACACAACGACCTGGCCCTGAGTCAGGAGGAGGAGCTTATGTCACTGCAGATGAAACAGCAGAGAGTTGAGATGGAGCACGGGACCCCTCTACCATCCCGCGGAGTGCATGGTGATTTGGAGACCCTGCGGCCCCCCGTGTGCCCACCTGACTACACACTGGCCTTGAGAAGAGCCCCTGAAGATGTGCCACTTATGACAGCCAACACCATCACTATGATTCCCAGCACTATCAGCAGCATGCAGCCCCTCCACCCCTTCAACACCTATCCACCTGTCCCGGCCCCCACCGGCACTCCTGTCCCCAGCCACAGCAACAATGCGCTGCCGCACCAACACTCTACCACACGAGTATAGGACAACGCACAACTCTGGGCTCACAGAGACATCACAAAACTGCTCCCCCATCAGTCCTCTGTGTCTGTCTGTTGTCATTAAGCCCTATCTGAAGCTGCAGTTTGTACAGTTCACAATCAGGAATGCATCTTACAGAGGGACAGCAATCAAAGGGAGGTGTGTTCAAATGCTTGTTGCATTGTTCTTGCAGCTTTGCCTCATTACAATGCTCTCTGTATTTGGTGTTTTGAGATGCCAAAAAGGCAGCTTTAAGCTCATAGCTCCCTGTCAGAGGTAGACAGCCTATCACATTCAATCAGGCAGCTTAGTTGTTTTGATCATGTGTTGTGTCAGTGTATAACTATGTTTGACATAGAATACAAATAATCATTGTCATTCACGTTTGGGGTGAAGTAAGATACACAGTGAGCTGTTTTAATGAGGCAGCATATGTTTAACAATCTGTGTGTCATAAAGAAGAGATTTCCTGAAACCTACAAACTGCAGCTTTAAAGGCCCAATCTGGAAGTGTAATTTGGCACCACGCATTGAGCACTTTGTCCCCAACGCTGTCTCCATTCTGGTTTAAAGAAATGAGAAATGTACCATTTGCAGTACAAGAATGTGACAGCTGAGCGTCGCCCCTCCATTATGAAATGTATTTTTTATATTAACAACTTAATGTATAGTACTATACTGTATAATACCAGAGTATTGCTTCATAGATCTATGTAGTGATGATGCCGTTTCCAGATTGGGGCTGGCTCCTCTGGGCGTTCCTGGATAAACTGACTCACTCAGCGTGTGGGGTGCGACCTGAATCCAGCCTGCCCATTAGACTGGGCTGCATCTGGGCCACACAGGCGCTAATCACATCCATTACTTTATTTGTTTCTCACTCATTATCTCTGTCTCCAACTGCATCTCGGCCCATTTAACTGCTTCTCCATTTACTGCCTCACACCACTTTCTCTGTGCATCTGCCCTTGTAGCTTAAGCTCTTTTTATTAAACCATTGCATTATTTGTTTCCATCTCACATCCGCTCCTCTCTCTTGCAATCACTACTAGACTCTTTATTCCTTTTGGAGTCTTTTATACAAAAACACAAATGTAAATTATGTATTATTAATAAATTGTAAGGATATGAATGAAAAAAGATATTCTGATATCTCGTTTTTACCAGCATTCTTGGTGCCAAGTACTGTGACAAAGCTCCTCTCGTGCTGGCGTCCAGTGGACGTCTGAGAGGCCTATCCTGACTGTATTCTACAAAAGGAAATACCATCAGAAAAGTGCCAACCCCTTTCATTTTTCATTTTTCATTTTGACCATTCTTAATTAATTACATTAAATGTTGCACTGTGGATGGTTTCTTCTTCTTGAAGGGAAATCAATATATCCTTGTTTAAAAAAAAAGAATATGAAGTTTTATTGCTGTCTGGAATATTTGCATGTTTTTTTAAACAGTGTGGACATAGACATTTAGATTTCCCATGTTCTGCCTTGTTTTTATTGTTTGTCTTTTTTGGTTCAGTTTTAAAATACACAGCACTTTGTGGTACTTCTTCAACAGATATAAAAGTATAGAGAGATGAATATTGTATAAAAGTATACTAAAGAGAATAAATATTTCTTCTTTATTTTTTTTTCTAAGACGGGGGCTGTGCAACACATAAACAGAAAAACTGTCAAAAGCCTTTTTCTCCCCCTCATGTTACTAAGACGTCTTTTTTGCACAGCCACTCTGAACATCACGCGAGGAAAGCACTTTTTAGGTTTCAAAAAACAAAAGTGACTGCTCTACATGATTAGTCCTGATGCGTTTTGTGTGTGACTGACAATATCCATATGCTTCAGTGTTTGAAGACTGCCTGGCACTTGTCTTTCATCTTCTCACAGTGGAATGGGGTAAATGTACCATGGCTTAAAGGTGAGAGCGCCTTGCAATGTGTGTTTCACAGCTCTCGCACAACTGAACACGAGACAGACGGGTCGCACTCGGGACGTTCATGATCAAACAGCCCAGTGACTTTAGGACAAATGTGGACAAATGTGATGTCTGCTTTGATCTGCCAGTGCACGCAGGACCACAGCCTACAACAGACACTACTCTTTCTCATGTGCCACTACAGCAGCTGGATTTGTGGTCTTGTGTGACCCAGACTGCCATCCCTCACTGGACTGAAGGAGCCGAGGACAAAATCAACCAGACAAACTGTACATTTTTTAAGTGTTAGAGAACCAACTGGGAATTTGTAAATATTATGTTTGTCGTTTGGTTTGAGTGATTGGCCAAACCTTTTTTGTGACAACAGGTGCAAGTTTTGATCATGTATTATTATCGCCTTATTAAGAAAAATATTTGAACAGGCCACAGTGACATGGTATTAAGCATAAAAAAATATTTCTGTTGACTTCTGATCAAATGTAAAAGTTTATGCTTTCATTGTATTATGTGCAGATAAATGCAACATAGTGGGGGACATTTTTATTATAGCTTTGTAACAGTTCTTAATATTGGGGATAAATATTCTTTAATAATCTGTTTCTAATCATCCTGCATCACTTATATTTGGTTTCATTTAGAATGGCATTTGCTTCCATTTAAGAAGAAAAGAATCCCATGCAAACTTGCCAACAGATCTGAAGCACACTCAAGTGTACATGTTTACACTACAGTTATGAAGTTGGCTCGATATAAGTAAAAGGATATATATAAATATGATTATCAAAGTTTCAATCAAACTTAAGATATTGTCTTGTTCTCAATGCTGATTGGTAAAATGGAGGCTTGCACCTGTTTGTCCATTTCATTTAGTCTGTTTTCGTAATCTGCTTGAAGCTAAACATAAGAAAGAATAATGGACTGAAGGGGTTGAAAGAACAAAAGTTAATATTTCTATTTCAAATAGAGGCTATTACACACTGTACGTTGTGTATCTGAACTGGAAATCATTAAAAAATACATTCTTAAACAAAAAGCCTGATACTGATGTTTAATCATTCACTTTTGACCCCAAGGGTCCTTAAAAACATACAAACTAGTACAGTATGTGTTTATAATGCAGGCATTGCAAATTGTCATATTTGGGGTAGAGTGATGACAGAATATTCTTATGTGCGAAGTGAAAATAATTTGCTATACACTGTATGCATTTCAAAGTTATTAGCTGTCATAAGTTTTGTGTGTACTTATATGTTATTATTATATGTCCATGACTTAAAAAAGAGTGTCTTTGTATTATGGCTGTTTGCTTTAGCGCGATATGGCCACTAGAGGTCAGTACAGAACAGATGTGAGCCACGCTTTTCTCAGGACTCGAGAACGTGTTAAGTGGGTTAAACATGTTTCTGTCGTAGAAATAATATTTATATAATTTTTCCAGATGTTCAGCTTGGTGAACAGAAGTATATTTTACGGTCAATAACGCGTAGCTGTGGAGAGAATGTAGGCAGCAGCAAGGTTAGTATTTGTCATTTGTCATGTCGGCTATTGGCTAGTTACAGTTTTAACATTTAAGACATGTGCGTTCACATTTTTACTAATATGGTATTAATATATTATCCATTCAGGGCCAAGCAGAACTTTCACTGCTCTTACATGTTCGTATGTTTGAAGTGACAGAATGATGGGGCCGTTTTCAAGTTCTTTTGAAACCCAGCTACATATTCATATTACGCCTTGAAAATATAAGAGTTTACTTAGTTACCCTCAAATAAGTAGAATTATGATATAGTATTGGCTTGTATGTTTTATTTAAGAAGAACAATGGTTAACAGAGGTGTGATCTGACTGCAGCAGAGTGTCTGAGGGTCACATCCAACATGTTCCATGTCCTCGCTGTGTTAGTCCCACTGTGTGAGATGGTTTGATCATGATATTGATCATAACTGTAAGCTAAAAACTATTCTCAAAGTAATGAGTTAAATTACGTTACTTTAAAAGTAAGTTCTGATACTTCCAATGCCTTATTCATGCTAATTCATCTAATTACCAGTTATAGTAATGCACATTCTTGGAAGAATGCATTAGTTTCTATTATTCTTTTATTCGTTTACTAGTTGTTATTTAAAGAGAAGTACTTAAGAGTCACCGCTAGATGGCGGCACAGGGAAAGGACATGCTCATGTTTAGATGTATGTTATTATTGCAGTCCACTCCTCTTGGTTACTGAAGACTACTGGTTGGTTACTGTTTTTGGATATAATATTCATCCTCAGCAAATATATCAATTAATTAGAATTCACAATTAAACAGACTGATAAAAGACATGAGCATTGCAGTTCATATTCTTGGACAAAATGGATTTTTCACAATTTTAGCTAAATATTATCTGCTTGAGATTGTGATTCAGTATATAATGTATCAGTAAATACTCCATTTTAAATCTTAAAGTTATCCAATTGATGTAGTTCAAATTGACAATATGCAAGGGATTTCTAACAATTGATGCTATGCGGTGGTTGAGGATTTTTTTTTTGTAATTTACTACGTGATTTTCATTCCAAAAGAACAAATTTCAGCCATGTGTGATTCCATGTCTCATTTTTTGTTTAGCCGTTTCTTTATTCTCATTCTGTTTATTTCCAATAGCTCCAATTACCATCATTTGACTGACCTTCAGCAGATTGTTGTTTCTTCTGACCAAAATCATAATTGTTACCACTTTTAAGACACACACACAAAAAAGTAGCTGATCTCATTTTATATAATGTTTTTTTCCTTTTATTTCAGTAGAAGTTGTGCACATAGATGGTATGTATGTAGCGGTAAACGAGCAGTGGTGATTCACACTTGCAGTCGTCGTAGAAGTCTGTAGGTTCTGGTCAACCTCTAAATTATCCTTGAGGAACATCTCCGGCTCCATAACATTCATCTCACGGACAATATTTCCTTCTTTAGCGTTCTTTGACCAGAGCTGCATGGGACGGAAAGCGGATCAGGTTGTTCCTGAGGTGCGTGGCGGTCGTATGCCATGCAGAGGTAAGCGGACCACTAGTCTTCAGGGGTGGTCACCT